AGTCAGGTCACATACAACAATCACCTAATGAATGCAAATGGAACAACAGATTTATGTTTTTCTCTCTCTTTCTCCCTCTCTCTCTTTCCTCCCTGTTTCTCTTGCCCTCTCTCGCTGATCAATAAAATGAAATAAAAATTTTAAAAGTCCAAGCATAATAGTAATACGTGAGAGTGAAAACTTAACAAAAACCTCATATCCCATGATAGCATTGGTCAGCAAATTTTCCTCTAGATTGTTTTTCATTTGAATTCTAAACTGTAATCTTCCTACTGTTTTCATTAATACCGACTTGTTGCAGTTGTGATGGCAAGTGGTTGTGAATTATTTTCTAGTTTAGAAATTCACTACCGTGCTGCAGTGGGGGAGGGACACCGTCAAAGGTTATTCCCTGGAGACTGTCCAGGGTTCCTATGTACAGTGCACACAACCTTCTAGGGTTCTTAGTTAAAAGCGTAGGTTGTGATTATGTAAGTATGTAGTGGGCCCAGGAGTCTGCATTTTCAGCATGCTTCCAGGTGATGCCCTGCTTCTGCTTGACAGACCCACGTTTGAGCAGCACAGGACTGAGCTCTGCCCCTGTGGTACTGTGCTCAGAGAAAGCTGATGTGACACTTCCACGTTTATGCATATGCATATGAGCCAGCTGACAGCCCCTCAGCCAGAGACTTACAGCTACATCCATAGCTCGTTACCATAGTGCCCATGGGTGTAGGCAGCCCTCTAGAACCATCAAAAAGGTGTAGTCCTGAAGAATCAAATATCCAGTGTTATCTAATAGCTTTCGTGAAGCATCGTATGCACTCTCAAATAGGCAGACAGAGCCTCAGCTTATGGAAAAGGGCAACTCCAATGTGGCGTGTCAGTGCAGCTGGCACCGTAATGAAACCAAAAGGAGCATCGTCCACCAGGAACAACCATTTCCTTTGGAGTCCAAGAGTCAGTTGTCTCATCACTGGTATTGAGTGGTTTTTCTATATTCACAAGTGTATAATCTTAGTCCCAAACCACTTTTTTTGTTTTTTGCCTTAATCTGTGTTACAAAAGTATATTTATGGGGTGATGAGAATGTTCTGATGTTAGATTGTGGTGATGGTTAAACAACTCTGAATATGCTAAAACCCTTAAATTATACACATCAAAGGGGTGAATTTTATGGCATATGAATTATCCCAATAAAGCTGTTTTTTAAAAAAGGGAAGAAGAATATTTAAACCAATATTGACCTTTAAAATTCAAATCCTGGGCAGAATCAGAATCTGAAAGATGCTGTCCTAGAGTCTCCTGAGCTGGCTTTAGAAGCTCACTGTTGCACTGTCTCTCCTGCCTTTTCTGCCCTGTCTTGTCTGGTCTCATCTGTGAACACCAAAGCTCCAGCTTGCTCTTGTTTCACTTGTAAATTCACATAAATACTCATGGTGATTATAAAATCACATTTTTTAAAAATGTGAAGACAGGCTGCCTGTGGGATGCTAAATGATTCTAGTTCCTGCCTAATTCAAAGCTCACTGATGCTGAAACTTGGTGATAGCTGGTGGCAGGGAGTGGAGGGTGTGGTTGGTATTGAGTCCCTGTGTGTGAGGTAGGTGGCTGCTGTGCACCTCTGAATTTGAGATGGTTGGAGCAATGAAGAAAGTCTTAAATCCAACATTTTAATATTACTTTTAAAGTAATTTTACTTCAAAATTACTTTTTACTCACTTTAAGAGTGGTACATGCTTATTGCAGAATATTTACAATTGTGTTCTTAGTTTTAGGTTGATCATCAAGGCATATTAGAAATGGATGTTCCTCAGCACTGTCATATACCTTGAACTGGGTTAGAACTCAGTAATCCTCCTTTTTAACAAGCCCTCCAGATAGTTCATATGCATGTTAAACTTTTAGAAGCACTCAAGTCTAATATACACAAAAATATATAAAAAAGGAAAAAAATTGAAAACATTTGTAATTTCCTCTTTTAAAATTTACCACTTTCGGGGCTAATTCATTATAGCATTTTATCCCCCCTGTGTATGTGTCTGTCAGTTTTTATGTGTTGATTGTATTAATATTGTATTTAATACTTTTGTACCAGTTTTTATCCCCTGCTTAACATTATATCCTGAGCATTTTCCCATGTCATTAAATACTCTCCAGAAACATGATAGTTAAACATTTGATTTTTCGTCCATTTTACTGTCTCTCATTTTAAAAAGCTCACACCAGACCAGGATAAAGGCATAGAGCAAGTGACTATCTTGTTTCTTCCTGAACCCCTGTTTTGTAAATTAGCAGGTAGGTCCCAGCTTGGCGAGATTCATTTAGTTTTTCTTTTGCAGGTGGGTAAATTTGAAAAGGAATGTAATTTGGGTGTCTCCTTAGTTTTATATGCAGATAATTTAATGGCCAACTCATAACTTATAGACAGTTCTGTGAAATTTATTAGTGTGAAATTTCTAGAAAATGTTCCATTTTACTTTCGCCCTAAAGTATGTTGTAAACCAGTCTTGTCTGCATCTGGACCTATCCCTGCTTTTTATATCAGGCTAAAGTCATCTCTGGCAACTTCCTGTTTCTTCTATAGTTAGTGGGCCTTTTGTGCTTAATTCTAACTTAGATTATTAATCATTAAGAGGTAATTTTTAAAAATATTTTAAACATCTGAACTTATGTCCAAGATGGAGGTGTAGGTAGATACACTTTGCTTCCTCGCACAACCAAAAGAAGGAAAACAACAAATTTAAAAACAAAAAATAACCAGAACTGCCAGACAATCAAACTGTACGGAAGTCTGACAGCCAAGAAGCTAAAGAAGAAACATCCATCCAGACCGGTAAAAGGGGCAGAGACAGGCCACTGGGGTGGAGAGGAAGCACAGCAAGGGGGTGACTGGAGGACCAGGAGGGCAAGGCAGTGACTGGCAGACTAGGCAGTCCCACATTTGCATGCGGATAAACTGGAGTAACAGCTGGGGACCGAGATAGACCACACAATCCAGGGTTCCAGTGCGGGAAAAGAAAGCCTCACAACCTCTGGATGTAAAAACTTGTGAAGATTGCAGCAGCAGGAGAAACTCCCAGGCTCACAGGAAAGTCTGTTGGAGAGACCCATGGGGTCCTAGAATGTACACAAATTCACCCACCTGAGAGTCAACACTAGAAGGGCCCACTTTGCTTGCGTGTAGTGGGGGAAGTGACTGAAAGCCAGACAAGAGCTGAGCATGTGGCATTGTTCCCTCTTGGACCCTTTCCACACAGCCAGCATCACAACTCAGCAACTTGGGTTGCCCCGCCCTAGCGAATACCTAAGGCTCTACCCTGACCAACATAACAGGCACACTGAGACAAAGAAATATGGCCCAAATGAAAGATCAAAGGTCCAAAGATAGAACTAAGCGATGAACAGATAACCAACCTATCAGATGCACAGTTCAAAACCCTGGTAATCTGGATGCTCCCTGCAATTCAACATCAAATCATAGGCGTGCCAGAGGAGAAAAAGAAGACCAAGGAACTGAAAACTTATTTGAAACAATAATAAAGGAGAACTTTCCCAATCTGGCCAAAGAAATTGACTTCCAGGAGATCCAGGAAGCTCAGAGAGTCCCAAAGAAGTTGGACCTAGGGAAGCACATGCCAAGGCACATCGTAATTACGTTACCCAAGATTAAAGATAAGGAGAGAATCTTAAAAGCAACAAGAGAAAAGGAGTAGGAGGAAGTAAAACTACCATTGTTTGCAGATGACATGATAGTGTACGTAGAAAATCCTGTAGACTCCACCAAAAAACTACTCAATCTAATAAGTGAATTTGGCAAAACAGCAGGATACAAGTCAATATTCAGAATCAAAGGCATTTTTGTACACCAGCAATGAAATAGAAGAAGAAGAAATCAGAAAAAAATACCATTCAATATAGCAAGAAGAAAAATAAAGTACCTAGGAATAAATTTAACCAAGGAGGTAAAAGACCTGTATGTAGAAAACTATACAACAGTGAAGAAAGAAATTAAGGAAGACACAAATAAATGGAAGCATATACCATGTTCATGGAAAAAAAAAAAAGGAGAGCGTTACCTACAAAGGAGTTCCCATAAGACTATCAGCTGATTTCTCAAAAGAAATCTTGTAGGCAAGAAGGGGCTGGCAAGAAGTATTCAAAGTCATGAAAGGCAAGGACCTACATCCAAGATTACTCTGTCCAGCAAAGATATCATTTAGAATGGAAGGGCAGGTGAAGTGCTTCCCAGATAAGGTCAAGCTAAAGGAGTTCATCATCACCAAGCCATTATTATATGAAACGTTAAAGAGACTTATCTAAAAAAAAGAAGATCAAAAACTATGAAACTAAGATCAAAAACTATGAACAGTAAAATGGGAGGGGGAGGGGAAAGAATGGGGGGAAAAGGTACAGGGAATAAACAGCATAAGTAGTAGGTACAAAATAGGCAGGGGGAGGTTAAGAATAGTATAGGAAATGGAGAAGCCAAAGAACTTATATGTACAACCCATGGACATGAACTAAGGGGGGAGGGAATGCTGGGAGTTGGGGGCGGTGTAGGGCAGAGGGGAATAAAGGGGAGAAAAAAAATGGGACAACTGTATAATCAATAAAAAAAATTAAATAAAGCCCTTAAAATATTTTAAACATCTTTATTGTTATATGTTTTATTGTGTGTGCAATTTAACAGATGTCAACTATAAAATGACCTCATCGGTTCACTTTCTTTAAACAGCAATCATCATGATTACAGTGTTTATCAATCTAAATACCTTTCAAGTTTTAGATCACTACTTTGTAGCAAAAGATGTACCAATCAGAAATAAACTTAGTTATATGCAAAATACATAAAAAGAGATAACCCTAAATTTCCTACATCTTGATTATTCTGGGTATGGTCAATTATGAAGTTTCATGAAAAAAATACATGTCATTTTATGTTTTGGTTTTTTTTCCTGGCTAAACTTTAGGAGTAATTTGCTTGCAGAGAATATTGAACTGTCTTCCTTCTTTGTCAGATGCCAGAGATGCAGAGCAGTTGAGCAAGAACAAGGTGACACATATCCTATCTGTCCACGACAGTGCGAGGCCGATGTTAGAGGTAAGAGAGCTGCATGCTGTGGGGTGCCTAGGATGGTAGTGTTAGTTTTGGGTCAGGCCAGACTTACACCCATGCCCTGTTTGTGGAAGATGGGAGGGGATGTGGTTTTTCTGACTGTACTCCTACTGCATTGCCAGCTTGGCTTTCTTGGCTATTTGACAAAGAATAAGCTGACGCTGCATTTATTTCCCTTTGTATTTTAAGGATATTTTAAACCCATTTCATTCCTTTCAAAAGTATCTCCAGTTTTAGAATCCAGGTTGCTCATTTCCTGATTTTTCTTTTTACATTTAAGTTCAGTTATGTACCATTTACATTTGGTAATAAAAGACAATGGGAAATAAATTGTCACTGGAGATTTTCCAAGGCCTCTCTGGTACAGAGACTATCAGTGTAAATAGCTGTTGTGTTTTTGGTTTTCAAGTAAGCAAGGTGTATCTGCCTGTACACTAATTTGAAAAACATCTTCTTTATTACCATAAAGGATGGCTTGAGCTGTTGGCCACGAGCAAAATCTGTTTTTCCATTAGGCTTGATAGAGCCCAGGTTATCTCTTTTTATAAAACAATGCATGTGTAGTTTTAATGCATATTGCATTTTTCTATTTTAGGGTTAGGTGTTGGAGAGAATGGAGTGACTTGTTCTGAAAGAAATAAACCTAGTTCAAGCTATTTTCATTTAAATTCATATTATTCAAGAATAGATAATATATTTTTATTTTAAATCTATTTTCCTTAGCCATTGGAGCTTCCAGATGGCCGTAAGTGTAAAACAAATGAAGACATGGAATGATAAGTGATTCTATTAGATGTTATAACACCAGAGAGCCATAGGTGGTAAATAAAGCTTGGTTCATTTCTCCAGGTCTGTGAGCTTGTACTTCCTTCTGGTGTTTTAGTTCATGTTTTTTTGTTAAGGTGCTATAATTTGTGTTGCAGGAAGATTTTATTGAAAACCACAGCAACAATAATAGCATATCATTTTTTAGAGTGTAACAGTTTTTTTGAAGTTAGCTACTCCATTTTTTCATCTATGAATGGCAGTTTATATCTAAAACATAGCCAAGCCATGGCCACAATGATAAGACAAACTTAAGTTGGTCATGATTGATTTCCTCTTAAATCATAACATGAGGCTTGAGGTTTCCTTTATTTTAATAAATGACGTAAATGTCCTTCCTGCCCTCACCCTCGAGCCTTCCTCCCAGCATCATTCTGCATTTAGAGGAGCATGTTGTCATGTATGAACATGGCCCTTCGATCTGTTCACAGTGTAACTCCTCTCTAAATATAAGATCTTCAAGTATTAGAAATAAAAAGCTCCTGTCCTTATCAGTCCAACCTCCTCATTTTACACACCAGGAAACAAAGGGCTAGAAAGTAAAACAGATGGGACTGTAACCCAGTATAGAGACCACTGTTTGTGTAAAACCCTTAGAACTTTGGACAAACTGTATTCCATCAATGATATACTACCTATTTGTTTTTATTCCCTCTGTATCTCAGTCTATAAGGACAGATTATGCCTTCAAAAAAGAAAGAGAAACTTAGTACCTTCACGGGATGGCTCTTAATTTCGCAACATCCTGTTGTAGTCTTCTGGTGCTATTATACCTCAGCTTGATAAAAGTACTTTCCAGTTACTTCATATTTATGAAGGGTTAGACTACTGTTTCATAGCATAATACAATTTAATATCACCTCTCCTATTGTATTCATTTTTAACTTCACAAGTAACTTATGAATACATTCTTATAAAAAGTTAAAACAATAGCTTCTCTGATATAACAACGGGGGGAAACTGAGACACCAGAAGTTTCTGAACAGACATGCTCACGTTAAGTTACTGGAATAGAGGAGACTCACCAGGCACAGACCAAATGTTTCAGACGTTGGTTTAGCCTCCGTCTCATGCATGTAGGCAGTCTTCTGTCTTAAATTTCAAAATCAGTTCCAGAAGCCATGGTCTTACCCAGCCAGTGGTCAAGGGTGTTAGTGGTTTAGAGTAAGCAGGGAAATAACAGGTGGATTTTATTCTTCAAGCAGCTCCATGTTATGCTGGCCTTGGTCCCTAGAGGGAAATAAGGGCAGGGCAGGGGTAAAGGTGAGAGGGCAGACTGCATGCAGAGCTGAGCACCTATCTTGAGTTGGTCCCCAGCCTGGTGAGAGACCCTAATAAAGAGTGGAAGGATAAAGAATGAGAAGAGAACTGGAACCTGCTTCTTTTTCTAAGAGCTTCAAAACTATGTGTGTTTGTCTTATGACCCCTAACTTACTCTGGGTAGCCCTAGCCTGAGGCTGGGCTGGAAGAAGGAGGTAGTTACTACCTAAAATTGAAAGCTTTCAGTTGTGTCACTTCCATGCGGGAGTTCTGTGAGTCCTGATGTCGTGAAGCTATCTATGTCTTGGGCAGTATGCTGTAGGTACTTTGGATCATTTCCAACAAGCATCTGAATGGGTTTAAAAGCACTGGGTGCTTGGCATCAATTAGCAAGGGATTTTAGAATTTTTAGGTCTGCTCTTATTGTGATGGAAGCTAAGGGAGAGCAGGAAGTCATATTGTTCAGTGTGGTTTCTAAAACAGAGGTCATAGGTCAGGGGCTCAGAAGATTCTCAAAGGATGGCTGTCAAACAGTAGGCCTAGAATGTGATGCTTTGCAAAAAAAATAAATAAGTGTAGGGACTTTAACAGCCCTCTGGAAGATTTACAGTTGTGTTGACAAAATTAAGGTTTTCAAGTTATGCATTGAAAACACACATATACCAGTCTTTCTGAGCAAGGAACCAGTTTATCTATGGAGCTGTATTCTGCTGAATTCTGGGTCATGGGGACCCAGATTAAGGGGGACCCTGCAAAGGGGCCTGCTGCCCTTTGGAGTCTAGGGTGAGTCTCCTGATTGGGTGCTTCTTCAGAGAAATGCTTGTACACCTGATAAGCTGAGGGGAGTAGTGTCAAGGAGGTGATACCAAGCCTGATCTTGTTACCAACTGAGGCTTCCTTGGGATGAATTTTTGTGACATCCTGGTATAGTTGGTAGGCAGAATGGGAGATTACACATTGTGCCTTTTACATCATCTTAGGTGTAATCTGTTATAACACCTAGCCAGTAATGACACTCTAAAGTGCAACCACCATGAAAGGCCTCATGAATATGTTGAAGACATCTTTACTTATTATACATTTATTGATTTTATTTAGGAAATACTTTAAGGAACTTAGTTGATTTTAGTTGGGTTAGATCTGATATTCCATTATTTGGGTAATATCTGGAAGAGTTTTCCAACACGGCATTAGCAGGGTCTCACTCTCTTTCCAGCCACCTGATAGAAGAAAAGGAAAGACACTGTTTTCGGGCTTCTGGAGTGGCTGGACCTTGCCTCTGGCTATGGAGTAGAGCCAGGTTGTCTTTGATGCTTCTTTGATGGATGAGATAGGAATACTTTATCCTCTGAACCCTGAAGTGAGATGGTCAGCGAAGGGAAAAAGACCTCAGTTATTCTCTCTTCCAAAGAATATTTGAGCAGTAGATCTTTTGGAATGAAGACTCTTCTTAGAAAATTGGTAGAAACTTGGGGACCTTCATACTCATGTGAGCCAGCCCTAAGCTGACACAAGAGATTCTGAAGAACTTTGACTTCATTTTTATGTCAGCTGAACAGGGTCCAAGAGATTACCTTTTTGACTCTATCACTGTGTGCACAAGGAAGAATGAAGTTCAGAGACATGAAGGGGCTTGCTCTCGACCCAGTAGCTGGTGTATGGCTTTATAGAAACCTGGGTCTTCTATCTCAGGTCAGAGATTTTCCTCAGAGTGTCTCACTGCTTGGGTTCTCTAAAACAGCAGTCCCCAACCTTTTTGGCACCAGGGACCAGCTTCATGGGAGAAAATTTTTCCAAGGACCAGGGGGCTATCAGGGGACTGGTTTCGGAATGACTCAAGTGCATTATATTCAAGCTCACCTCCTGCTGTGCAGCCCAGTTCCTAACAGGCCCGGACTTGTACTGGTCCACAGCATGAAGATTGGGGTCCCCTGCTCTAACAGCCTGACTGATGCCCTTAATTTTGCTAACAGTGTTAGTGAATATTGCCATATCAGTGTATGAAAGTGTGTGTTTCCCCAGACCATCACCAACGCAGAATTTTATTCTTCTCTACTTTTTATGAGCATTATTTTTGTTTTTCACTTGCCTCACATGCCTTCCTTGCACTGTTGAGTCTCTTGTCCAGACATTTCTTCCCTTTGAGTATGGGGAGTTAATGACATTTATTTTTTGAGCTTCTACTACATGCCAAGCCCCACAGTGTAGGTGCTGGAGTTAACGGAAGTAAATCACAATATCTGCCCTGACAAAGCCCTTAGAGTATAAACAATATAGCATTATGGTTATTTTCTAAGTATTAATAATAATTACAGTAAGTGAAAAAAGAGCTCTGGTGCAGGGCAGGCCCCTGGCACTAGGAATCAAGTAGGAACATAGGCTGTGGGAGCTCTGAAGACAAGGTCCCTCTTTTGCCATGTGGCTCTGAAGGCATTTGCAGTGAACAGTCATGTGACTAGCTTTTTGGAAAGGACTGGAAATTTCGGAAATCTAGTTCATGGTATTCCAGCCAGAAGAGGCTAGTGCAGAGTGGCAAAACATAACTTCTTCTTGTGGGACCGGGGCTCCACAAGTTCACACCACTCTCATTCAATCCTCCCAGAACTCTGTGAGCCCAGCAAGGCACATGGCATTGTCCTCGTCCCTTCACAGCATAATTAGCCCTGACAAGCTGCTCAGATCACCTGCTAGCAGGCAGCAGAGCCAGGAGGGAAACATCATTGCCACATACATAATTTCAGTGGGAATTAAGCCCAGGCCTGTAAATATAACATATCAGTGGGAAAAACCCTCCATATGTTTCTATGTTTAGGTCTTGGTTGGAAAGTTGCTTGCATTTGGTCAAAAGTGTTTTCTTATTTCTGAGCTGTGTCTTTAGCGCCTATTGATTGCTTCAGCTC